AAGGTCGGGGCATGAAAGCACCTACAAGGAGTAAAAGGACGGTTTGCCAAGTTATTAAACCGCTCCACTTGTGCCTGTGTAAGATTAGTGACCGTTTCCCCCCCTCCTCCAGGAGACATAGTGCTCTTATTCAGGCCCAGACGAGACCGAATGGTGGGTTGAACCGGGGCTCGCCTCTTGCGAGATTGGGACCCAGACGGCCCAGCAGTTGTCGCCTTCTTTGGAGGCATTTGGATGCCCAGAAATGAAATGTAAAGCAGCCCGGGGACAGCCAATCAATTACCCAAAAGAAGACACGGGACCACAGGTAACAAATAGTATTCAACAATCAACAGTCCAATAGCAAAGAGGGAACACAATGTCCCCACCAAACAGCAACTGGTCAACAAACACCAACTAATGCCCCACTGCTGTTAAATAGCCGACAACAATAAAGAAGACCACTCCAACTCCCCTCAAAACAAGATATCAGTCAATAACAGGCAACTAACAACGAGCAACTGACCACTTGTTTCAAATAATAAATTCACTAGAGCCCACAGATTTTCCAAAATAGATAATGAATGCAAGGCAGATATGAGGACTCTCCCAGCCAGACAACAACCAAATGGTCCCCCGACAATACCAACAATTATAGCAACCCAATACTTTAGAAAGTAAGAAGCTAGAGAAGGTTCTAACTTCTAAGAAGTCAACAACTATAGCATACTTATTGTGTCAAGTTTTTTCTGTTTAAAATAATGTTGAAGCTTCTTGCTACAGGTTCTCATGAATCTAGGACCAAATGCTCTGAGAGAAACAATCTACAGCATGCAATTGCATCACATGTACCTTTTCAATGAAACCATCCAAGGTGTATAGAAGAATGCTTATGTTGCAGATGGTAATCAATGATGGATGTTAGTAGTATTCTAGAAAATTTACACTGCATCATCATTTTCAAAGATGCAGGATGTAGACAATTTCTCCTGCACCAGGTTTCATCTTCCAGATGCAAGAACTTCCATTACAGGGTTGAACTCCAATTGTTTAAGAAATATATAGAATGGCTCTAACAAAAACAGATGGGGATAAAATGTTGCATGTGAAGAGTGTTTTCATGGGTGTGCATCGGTTTGCATGTACCCATTCTGTTGTTCATCCATATTGCAAATGCAGAGTAAATTTAGTGCTCTTTAACATCTTGCTGGGCTACAATTACTTTGTGTTCAAAGTTGCTAACTCTGATTTTACCTATTCATATATTTAGCATCAAAGTTCGAAACATGACAGGACTAGATTAACTAAGTTCAATGTAATGAGACATGAAGGACCTGACGAGATGCTGTCTTTTTTTTGATAGAAACTGCTTTGAAACAATTGATGTTATACATAATTAAAATCTTTTGATCGTTCTAAATGGACATTGGTTTCGCAAATGTCAACGACAAGAAATACTATAAACTTTTCAACAAGAAATGCAGTAACAAGAGAGATAAATGTTTGTTCGTTTGAGGGCTTTCTTGCACCTTTTTTGGGGCCTTCGTGCAATGTACTAAATGAGAATATAAAACATTGGTTGTAGTTTGGAAAGATAAATGCAAGAGTAAATTATCCATAGCGCCTTTGATTGATTCCAGTTTGGCCTTTCGTGCAAAGTACTAAATGAGAATATAAAACATTGGTTGTAGTTTGGAGAGATAAAATGCAAGAGTAAATTATCTATAGCAACTATGGCATAACTACTTTTTATTTTATTCAAAAGACATCTCATCCTTCTTTCTTATATGTAGAAAAAAAATTGTGCCTCTATTAACATGAATTCAAATTCGTCCATAGTCAAAACTTTACATGTAAATTGTATTTTTTTTTTTCCATTAAGAAAGAGATTTTTTTTTTTTTTTTTGTTTGGGTTGCTAGATGGGAGAGGTGATTGATCGTACTTTTGCTCTCTTTTTTTGGCTTCATGAACGCGGTAAAAATTAAAAGAAAAAAAAAAGAAAACGTCATAAAATTTGGTAAGTTTTTCCATGAATGACTAATTTTAATTTAGAGCAGACATAATGTACATATAAGTCCCTAGTTCGAATCCATTTTTCCTTTTCTTATTTTTTAAATTCCAACTCTCCTTTTCTCAAAGAAATTAATCTAGAACGCACATGAGAGATCCTAATTAGAACTTGTACCATTTTTATATTTTTATAAAAAAAAATAAAGGTTTCTATGAAATTGTAAATGGCTTAGGGTTGACCACTGCAACTAGAGGTGGCAAATCAATCTATTTAACTAAATTTACCCATACCCGTCCATGAATAGATGGGTATGGGTATCTTAAGTTTTTGTATATAGGTATAAATGGGTTATTCAATAATACCCATTTATTAAATGGATATTATTGGGTAACCCATCAAACCCAATTAACTCATTTAGAATTCTCTTCCCCCCAAGTCTCTTCTTTTCCCCACCTTTTTTTTTCGAATTTTTCATTATGTCATGATGTTAACTACTTTTGTTTTTTTATTATTATTATTATTATTTGTTGGTTTTATCTTATTATTTTATTTTCTCTTAGTTTGTTAACTTACTCATTTTTTAGCATTACCAATTTATGATAAATTTTAGCCTATTTTCTTATCTTTATAAAATGAAATTTTAAATTTATATATGAAAAAAATGTTAGGGGTTCAAATTTTTGGATTAAGTTTTTATATTAATTTTTATAGTACTTAGTTCAAACTTTTATATTCTTATTATTCAATTATTAAATAATAGGTAATTTTGTGACAGAGTATAAATGAAAAAAAATTGGTAATTAAGTTTATTGAACATTATAAGTAAATATTTAAAACTAATGATGGGTACAGAGAGTAGTATAAATTGATAACTTAGTTTGCAAAAATGAATTTAAATGAGTTTACAAAAAGTTAAAATAAATGGGTTATAAATGGGTAATTGGGTTACCCAATTCATTTTTTGACTTACCCATTTATACCCATCTAATTAAATGGGTATAAATGAGTTGACTCACTTATACTCATTATTCATTTTACCCAACCCAAACCCGCCCAAATCACCCATTTTGACACCTCTGACTGCAACCAACCCTTACTTCGTTATTCTTAGAGCATATGCAACGGAGTATCATGGGAGATATAATACCTCTCATGACACGGGTCCATTACACGGCCACCCATTTTGACCGCGTAATGTCTATTACACGCACCATTCTGATGATGCGTGTAATGGTGAGCCAGTGTCAGCAACGGACAAATTTTTTTGAAGTTACAACAGACAAAATTTGTGCCAGCAAGTTAAAATTAGCAACGTTCATTTTTTTTCCAACGGTTATTTTTAGCTTTTTATATAAACACAGAACACACTCCTTTTTTTTCATATCTTACCATCCTACTTTATTATTTCTCTTACTCTCTCACTCATTTTCCTCAACCTCTTTGCACAATTTTTTAAAATTTCAATATTTTTGTGATTATAGATGAGAATTTTAGTAGTCTTACAAATATGTTATATGATTCAAATATAGAAAATTCATCCTTCTCACAAAATCAAAATCACCAAAATTTTCCAAATTACCCAAATTTCTCATTTTCTGTATTCCTACAAATGTGCAAAATTATGCATATCTCCTAAATTTACCCACTTCCAACCATCCATCAAATTTTCAAAAATCCACCAAATTTTTCAAATTGAATTCTCATGTATCATCCACCTATTTATTTTTTTTAATGAAAGTTAATAATTTATTTTTTAAAAATAACAAAATTATTTTTAAAAAAACTACTTTATTTTTTTATGGGATATGAGTTGTGCATTATTAAAATAAATATTTGATTTAATTATAGACTCATGCTATTACACTTTATAGAGTGTAATTCATTATGAGTGAACGTATAATAAAAAAGAAAAAAATAAAATGCTAACGTGTCACGTGGATTACATTCTAGATGCCTTTAACAAGAACTAATCACCATCTTTACTGTCGGGATGACATGATTGCTCCTTGACAGCGATGAAGCCATCGTCGTCAGGCTTTTCTTTTTCCTCCTGCTCCTCCTTATGGCCTAAAGAATCTTCCGCTCCGCTGCCAAAGGTAACTTCACACCATCTCTAGATGTCTATCACAATCTAAAATATTGCTTCTACTACTACAAGTTATTATGCCAATAAATCCTAATGTAAAAACATCATGACCAATTTACATTTTTTTAATTTGGTAATTATTTTTGTATTGTTATTACTATTTGGATTACTGTTGCTGCTTTGGTTTTGTGAAGTTGTTGATCTTGCAGCTTAAATTAGAAGTAAGCATAGGTGCCATGCATAGCTTTCCCATGCAGAAATTGGCTACACTTATTTGTGATTTGAGTTTGTAAATTGGTCACGGTTTCTTGAATTTTTTTTTTGGCCCATGAAATTCAATCCATGATGAGGGGTTGTTTGGTGATTCAAGAAACTCAATTTCGCAAGTCTTGGATCATAAAATTTGATTTGAAAATGGTGATTAGCTTTTTATTTTAACTTGAATCTTGTACTTTTTCTCTCAATTTCTTGAAATACTGTCTGTACTCTAGACTCTGTCAAAACAAACCTTTTGATCTTTAGACCTTTTCTTTGATCAGTGTGAATGTGCTCACACTTCTTTTAGTCAATCTGCAGGAATTTGTGTAGAAAAATAAAGTGGAGTTTAGTTGAATTTTCTTGGGGAATAGGATGAAAGTGGAGATATATAGCTGTCCTTTTTGAGTTAATAGCTAAAGAATTAATGCTTTGTCACCATTTTACTATTTATTAGCTGTCTTGAGAATACTTGTTAATTTTACCAGGAGGCCAAAAGGAAGACAGAGGAAAAAATTATTAATTCAGCCATGTTCAATTGAAAAGCTTGCACCTTGTTCTAGAGAAAATCCTGTTTCAAAAATGGAAACTGTTTTCGAAGCGACTCCTGAGGAGAGGAAAGAAAACACCATATCTTTGATGGCATGAGGAGTTCAGGAATGTCAGTGAAACTTCTACTGATAAACCTGGGATTCCATTGGCTCCTTCCATCAAGAATTCCAAACCTGGAGTCATTTTTGTCCTTGAAAAGGCTTCGCTGGTGCCAGCTTATGTTTGGACGGTACATACATCAAGATAACACCTGTTAGTAATACCTTTCTTGTTTAATTTACATAAATCTGAAGTTTAATAACTTCTCAAGCTTAGGGCAAAAAGTTATTGCTTTTATTTGATTGCTCTAGTTGATGTTTGAGTTGTTGACATTCATGTTGTCTGTTTCGGTTTCCCTTCATTCAGACATACGAGATACTGAATCCAGACAAGCATGCTGATTTTATGCGCAAGAAAAACATGAATCCTTATAATTATAGACCTGACATTATCCATGAGGTATGTAGCTTTACAATTACATTAAGGCCATCCATTCTATGTTCTGTAGAGAGTTATTACAAACTTACAATTGGATTTGGAATTTTTACAGATGATTTCCTGAAGTATTTATCTTCAAGTATTTCCTGAAGTTTCTGCCTTATATATCCACGTCTTGGTCTTCATTACCTTCGGGAATTCCATGAATTAAATATACCTGTTCCATCTGCCCTTGTGTAACTGTCAAGCATGTTGTATTTGACAGCATTGGAAAAACTATTTTAGTAAAATCTAAGCAATCTTGTCTTGAGTCTTCTAATTTATGCCTCTTCTTCTAATTCATACTTATTTGATAATTCTATTTTTATCTATAGGTTCTTGTTGATATATTGGGTAGCCGGCTTAATATGGCAGGTATGGTTAAAGCAGTATATGTGAATTGAACCACATACAAACATACCACCAACACCGGGGAAGTTTTATTCTCTAATGTGAAAGTCTTCTTTCTTCGATCAGTTTGATTCTATTAGTCTCCATCCACATTAGATAAGCATTCACCCTTGTGTGTTGGCACCTTCACCGTTCACGTACTACAGCCCAGTTGTTGCAGAAGTTTAGTATCAAAGCAAGAGGTAAAGGTGAAAAACTAATGAGATTGATTGAGAATCCTTTGGACAAGCATTTGCCACTGAACTCCCTTAAAATAGGTAAGCTATTAAATTATTCAACTGTTTCTGAAGTCTCTATCTTTTCTTGTCTTTCCTTCATCAAGAGCAATTTTTTCTTCAGGGCTTTCCTTCAGCTCATCCAAGGCTGTCAATTTGAGGGATTATGTTACTACCATCAGCAACGATTGTACTCTAGTATTCATAGTTTGGTCACTCTCCACAGATTAATTAAGCGATCTTTCCTTTATGTTTAGCCTCATCTTTTCAGTAAATGAGACCTTGATTATTGAATTATCCCATCAGATTGACGCCATGGCTCATGGGAAGATCGATACTGAACATACTGATGATCTCATATCAGGTTTTCACTTCTTCCATTATTTAGATCGCGAAAAATTTGTAGCGAATACTGCCTTTTTATTGAATACATTCACCTTTCTGTCTATTTTCATATGAAGGATGATCATCTATTCTTTTGTTTTAGTTTGTCCTTAAGTTTCTATCCTGAGAACTGTTTTGTTTGCAGTTTCCTCACTTCCATTAAGTGCTCGTGTTTGTGTGAGACATGTATGCTGCGAATTGGAGAGGCAATGGGAAATTCTATGATTCGAGGTGTAATTATTACCAATGTACAGCTTGCTCCAAGAATTATTCAGCGTAGTGCTGCTTATCAAAAACCCACGACTCTAACTTGTCCAAATTAACATGAATATTAGTTTTCACCTTTCACGTTGTAAAGCTAAGAATTAGTCTTCAACTATCATTCTGTAAAAGTTCTGAGGTTCATCCAGAATATCGATCTTGTTGATTGAGCATTCTGATCTGCACTTTTTTTTTTTGGCAGTTGTCGTCTATTCTGGGAACTCACTATTCAGTAGCCGCAACAATTAAGTTTATCCTCAAAAGATTGAGCTTATGTAGTATTCACTTGATTCAGCTTAGTTCTGTCTCTGCTATCGGAGAGGGTGCCTTACCTGACCTGTGTGGTGTCAATCCTTTGGTATTTCTAGCTAAATTCTGCATTGCCCTGAAAATTTCAAAAAAACCTGCCTAAGCAAGAGAAACCATAATGTATAATTCTTTTGCTAGTATGTGTTTCGTATGTTTAATTGCTTACTCTACTTGGTGGTGATGGGACACTAAAATTACTGCAATGATCGAATTGCGCAACAAACAATGACAGAGCCAAGGAGGGCTGATGGGGCCATGCCCCGTAAGATTTGAAAATTTTAATTCATAACATGTTATGTAAATATATGTGTAAAACGAAGTTGATCCCCTAACTATTTACAATTTTAGTTTATATTATAAGACTTTATATATATATGAATTAATCACTTTTGAATTAATTTTTTTCAAAAAAAAGTTATTTTTTTCATACCTTTATAATTAAATCTAATATTTGATGTTTTTAGATGTCATATATTTAAATAGATGAAAATTATTTTAAACGTAATATATTAAAATAATTTTATAAGGAAAAATTTTGGCCTCCCAAGAAAAAATCCTAACTCCGTCACCGGCAACAAATCTTGGAAATTCTCCTTTTGCTTGCCTTAAAAGTGCCTAAGAAACAAGCTTTGTACATAAAAAAACAACCATTTGGCATGTGAGAACTGAGAACGCTCAACATATTTGTAAAGTTGTCATTCAATAATTCATTTTTTTTCATCAAGTGATTCGCTATTTCCAAATAGCTTGAATTTTCTTGTGCGATAATGATTATGATTAGTACTTAAGATTTAAAATTTTAAATACTTGGTTCAAATTACAACTAATTGTTGATAAATGGGCTTTTGATATTGGAAGTTTGGAACAAATAATGCTTTCGTCTGAAAAAACCAAGAAAGATTTGAATCTACATTATAATTCAAGGTCTCTAGGGAATCAAACGCAGTGCAATAATGAGCCATAGAAAATGATAAAATTAGATTGCCCATTGCAACTGGGCGTTTGGTCTAGTGGTATGATTCTCGCTTTGGGTGCGAGAGGTCCCGAGTTCGATTCTCGGAACGCCCCAATCATTTTTCCTCCTGTAATCTATGGGCAGTTTTCAATTTTCATTAGTGTCGCCTGACAGAAAAAATGAAGTAAAGCAAAGTATTGCATCCGGGCGTTTGGTCTAGTGGTATGATTCTCGCTTTGGGTGCGAGAGGTCCCGAGTTCGATTCTCGGAACGCCCCAGTCGCTTTTTCTACTGTAACCAATTGGCAGTTTTCATTATTGTCTCCTGACAAAGCAAATGAAGTAAAAATTGATGTTTAAATTCGATTTCGTACTTCTTCTTTTGGAAGGTGGAAATAATAATGGATCAAGTATTAATCTTTGAGTTTGATATTTACTCTTTGATTCACAGATCTTTTTTTTTCCATCTATTTTGCTTTTCTATTTTTTGCTATATATTGTGGAAAAAGACTATGCTGAATGACTTATCAATATCTCATCATATGGTCTCCATAATTATTATTTTATTCTTTCCTCATATATTGATTTCTTAATAGTTAATTTTCCCATTCTATGGCAACAATATGAAATCACGCCTTAGCTTTTTCTTTTTTTTTTTTGGAGGAACTGCAGGCTGGAGCCAATAATGCTTCATTAATACCTTGCGTATTGAGTACATGAGATTAGACTTCATCTATCTCAGAAAAGAAAATAATTTGGATAAAAAGAGAGGGATAGAGAGATGGACGATGAACTATTGGTAGAGTTTTTAACGAATCGACCTGTTTGCAAACCCATTTGTGTTCAACTCGTTCGAGTTCAAAAAAATTCGATTGTTTAATAAATTAATCGAACTCGAATACAATTTTCGTCTCGTTTAATAATCGAGTCGAATACGAACCTATTCACAAACTATTTTAAATAGTTCATGAACGCATATATAAATATAAATATAAATACATTTAATATTATTACATATTATATATTATATTTTACTAAAAAAGTAATTATACATAAATTAGCATTATTTATATTTTAAAAATTAATAAATACAATTAAATTTATTCTAAATAATGTATTATTTATTAAAAATATAATTACATCGTCTTCAAAATCAAGTTGGAGCTTGAATTCAACTTGTATAGTTTAATGCGCCAAGTTCAAGTTCAAACTTGAATATTTATACAAATAAACTAATCGAATTTGAATAATATTTGTAATTCATTAATATTCGAGTCGAATTCAAACCTTGTTCGTATAATATATGAACAGAGCATAAACACCAAATATTCGACTGAATTCAATTCGTTAAAAACTCTAAATATTAGTGGTGAAGATGGATAATAGCTAGCAGTTTAGGGGATAGATACTTAAGAGTCACTTAGTAAAATACTCTTTTAGCTTATAAAAACCTATATTTGAACTCTCAAAGAGTAGTATCACCAAAAAAAAGAAAAAGAAAAAAAGAACTATTAGACACTAGATTATATACGTACATATACACACACATACATACATATACATATACATAGACATAGATACATACATATATATATACACATATACGTGTGTGTATATATATGTATGTATGTATATATGTATGTATTGGCCATATCAAGATTTTGTTTATACTAGTTGGTTAGATGTGACCAGTAATCTTTCTTTCAAGTTAAAATTTAATTTTTTGTATAAGTGACATGCATTAGAACTCTTTTTTTTTTTTTTAGTGTAAGCGGGAGGACTCGAACCCGAGACCTCTTGCTTACACTCCCTCCCCCGTACCACGTAACTCAACCCAACCCTCCCCCCATGCATTAGAACTCATTTCTATAGAAAAATCTTTATGAAAATGATATGAACATACCTACCTTTACCTTCCATATATCACGGTATTAAAAAAAATTAGATATAAAAGAAATCCTAAATAATCCCCAATGAAACCACATTTACATAGATATACAAGAAATCCTAAATAATCTCCAATGAAACCACTTTTACATATCTTCACACGAACATCCGGATTAGGCATGTCAATGGGTAGGGTCTGGGTTGGATCTCTTTGATCCAGATCCCAACCCATTTAATTTAGTTAGACCCAAACTCAGACCCAGACCCCTTTGAGTCTAAAAAAGTAAGTCCATACCCAAACTCTTATGGATCTGGGTATCCAATGGGTATCCATAGGTATTTTCTGAATATACTAAAATAAAAATGTATTTAAAATATATAGAGTTCATAAATAATATAAATACCATCCAATTTTTGTTTTCAAATAATAAAATTAACGTTCAACAAGTTGAATGCAATATTATGAACTCAGAAAAAGAATTATTATTGACTACTTCTATATATTTTCAAAGATTCAACTGCATCCGTATCCAATATTTCATTTGTTTGCCTTTACCTTTTCTCCTTTTCTTGAAAAAGTTTGTACCAATTACAATGACAACTAAGATTAGTTTTTAAAAAAGAAAACAACCATAACATATATAAATATTTAGTCTTATTAAAGAAATGTAATTTTGTACCTTTTTCTTATTTAAACCTCAATGTTGGTAAATGTCTCGCAATCCAGCACTAAAATAGTGAATGAGATAAAAGTCATTTGACTAAGGACTAATGGCAAATAAATAATAGAATAAGAAATTTATAAACACTTACTCATTTTTTTTTATTCAATTCAATCATCAGTAATCACTAATATTTCAACAATATCTAGAAACAATTTGGCACGAGTTTCATCAATCATCTAACCACCAACACTAAATGCAGAATTCTGATGCCATAATATCTTACTATGTTCAATCCAATAGCCATACAATATTATATTATTTTATAAATTTACTAATATATATTATTTAATTAAATATATATGGGTCTGAGTAAGGTCTTGTATGGATCTAGATTTGGATATGGATTCTAGAAAATCAGACTCTACCCAAACTCACGACTCTCTCATAGGGTCTGGGTCTGGGTAAGGTCTGGATTTGAGAAATTAAATCCAAACCCTACCCTTGGGTCTGGGTATAGATGGCAAATCAACTCATTTAATTAAATTTACCCATACCCACACCATGAATAGATGGATATGAGTATCTTAAATTTTTGCATATGAGTATAAATGGATTATCCAATTATACCCATTTATTAAATGGGTATAATTGGGTAACCCATCCAACCAAATTAACCTATTTAAAATTGTCTTTCCCCAAGTATTCTCTGTTCCCCCACCCATTTTTTTTTTCAGATTTTTCGTTTTATCATTATGTTAACTACTTTTATTTCATTATTATTATTATTTGTTGGTTTTATCTTATCATTTTATTTTCTCTTTGTTTGTTAACTTGCTCATTTTTCAGCATTACCAATTTATGATAAGTTTTAACCTCTTTTCCTATCTTTCCAAAATGAAATTTTAAATTTATACATGAAAAAAATGTTAGGGGTTCAAAATTTTTGCATTAAGTTTTTATGTTAACTTTTATAGTACTTAGTTCAATTTTTATATTCTTATTATTCAATTATTAAATAGCATGTAATTTTGTGACATAAAGTATAGATAGGAAAAAAATTGATAATTCGGCTTATTGAACATTATAAGTAAATATTTAAAACTAATTATAGGTGCAAAGGACGGTATAAATTGATAATTTAGTTTACAAAAATGAATTTAAATGAGTATACAAAAGTTAAAATAAATGGATTATAAATGGGTAATTGGGTTATCCAATTCATTTTTTGACTTACCCATTTATACCCATTACCCATTTTACCCATCTAATTAAATGGATATAAATGGGTTGATTGACTTATACCCATTACCCATTTTAC